AATGTGTAATTCTTCTTCCTGTCTCATTCCATTTACGCATGCTCTATGACTTCTGGCGATGATAACATTGACAGTCTGGTTTCCCGTTGATGCATCAGGGGGTAGTTCCATGTGATCATATAAAGTTATTTGTGAGGAAACTATGTACTGCTAGTAGGTAGGTCGTACATCTCATAATTTTGCTAGTTCTTTACGATTATCATTCATCTCGCCAATACCATGTGATCGAAGGCATATGTGCAACTCGTTCTTTGTTCCCACTCTCATTGAAATGTCCCAGAACAATTAAGATTTTATTGGTTTGGCATTGTTGCATCAGACTCAGGGTGGCATAAAATTCTTCCAACCGCAGCTTTGACAGTGGCATAACCAACTACCATGATGGTGATATGCCTAGTCATTTATGCCCAGACTTGAACGTTTCCGTAATAATTCGGTCAGATAACACGCTCTGGTGTACAACTCGTTCTGCCTATAAGCTGACTGTCAGTGCAGTACCACTTTTGAGAGCAGCGCCTTCTTTTTTATTCTCAGTGCAATATAAGTTATAATTTCCAGCTGTCGCAAGGCTTATTCCAAGCCAGAGCGTCTCTTCTACTGCAGTTACCTCTGTTATCATACAATTCAGTTCTTCGGCAACCAGTGTTGTTTGTACATGTGCGCAACGTTCGCACATTCCGCTTGCAAACTGTCTGGCATTTAGTACTAAAAAGTATTTTTTCCCTTGTTGAGCTTTTCGAGATCCATACTCATAGCCCGCAATACTTGCGGGTCCGCTACCAATAAAATCTGGTCCATGTGACAAATTCTGTTCGGCCTTTGTGATCAGAACAATCCATTGCGTGACTGACTGGCGTGAAACAGCTTTACCTTCAAGAGAAATCTGTTATTTGTCCTTTTCAAAGATCGGGACGGATTTTTGCTGTATCCGCTGAAGAAATTGCATTCCACCGTACATCACTCTCTCAAGCATTCCCTTACATTTGACGTTGCCCGTTTCTCACGACTCAGACAGGAGGTTGTACTGTGAAAATAACCACCTATGCGATGAAAAAATTTTATTAGTCCGATCCGGTCAAGTTAATAACGAAGTATCCTGATATCTATTCTATTGAAGCAGTCGTTGATGTTTAAGGCATGAGCGTTTATCCAAGAGTGTTCAGAATGCTCCTGTTTTATACCATCATGTTCGTTGGATCTAATTTTGACGGTCAAATATTTTTGCAATGTACACCTAATTTATCATTGATTACATTTAATTAGGTATACTGCGTTTATTTTGTTTGATCCCCTTCTGCTTTTTACTTTCTATGATTATTTCCATAAAGAAGCCTGTATTCAGAGGCCGAAACGTCGTTATCCGTAAAACGTTTCTTACTTCCCATGCATTCGTAAGAGGTGCTTGTGATCGTTTTTTTGATGATGTTGTTAACGGAACATTATCCGAAAAAACTAGCACCATTACTGATGAAACCTATTAAGAATTAGAAATCTCTGAGCAAAAGCTGTTGAGAATTTCTCATACCTGTTTCCTAGTTCGTACCTATTTCCTTTTTATGAGTTGCTTGTAGGTGTCATGATAAAATTTGACTACGATTTTTGTGGCAACTGCATGTTTTCAGCTTAAAGACGAATCTGCTCTCGCCTTGAAAATACTGGATGACTTTCAGACAGATGCGTTCGCGTCGCTTTTCATGAAACAGGTGCCGTTCTGCTATCGATTCGAATATCTAATGAGGTTTTATTGATATACTCTCATAGATTATAGCAGAGTTTGAGACGTGTCTGTTATTAGCGTCCACGTTGGTGACGAGTTACGGTCAGCGATGACTGTACGTAAAAGGTTCGTATCGAGATTTATGGACTACGCCGGTGACGTTTGCGAAACGCTGTTTCCGATCGTTGCAGAAGCTATCATCAAAGGACTTGGCAATCGCATCGTTTTACTTGCGAAACATCAGCAAAAGCCTCCTCAGGTATTTTTTCATTAATACCGTGCGATGGTTTACCTTTAAAACCTTAGTGGAAAGTTTCTGCGCCGCCTTTGTACGTTACTGACGAAGAACTGGTACTGGGCATTTCGATCGACGCTGAAAATTACGACCAGACCATCATTCAGGGTCCTTTGGCTGATTCTGATGACGTAATTCATCAGTTCGACCATTGTTATTGCTGGAATGCTTAACTTTAGGCAAAGGCATTCCGAACATTCTGGGGTGAAAAGTCAGAGATGCGAAAATTTGACGGCACGGGCATTTGCGAATCAGTCGCTTGTCCAGCTAAAAGTCAGGAACAGAAAAGAGCGATTATTCCGCAGCTGGTGAACTTTATTATCAAACGGTAGCACCGCTGCATGGTTTGACTAATTTGCACCTAGATTCTTTAAGGCATCTGAAGCTGGATCCTTCCCAGATTCGCTGGTCCTATAACCAACTGGAAAAACTGTTGCTTCTTCCCGCACATCTGCAGTACACGCTTGATCATGTCGGTACCGCTGAAGAGAACTATAAGCGGCTTTCCGCAGTGTACGACAAATTATATGGGCAACTTCGGCTTCTTCAAGATCTGCCGTTACAGATACTCAACATTTATGCCATCTCTCCCTCTCTGAGGCGAACCGAGGTTAGAGTCATGGTTGAACAGTTCATCTATGATTTGATAGTTATTTTAAAGTGTTCGCGTCATGTTTTTCAAAGTAGTACGTGTTCTTCCAAACTAGGTTTCAAAGGGATCTACGCGCTGGTTGTGAATTAATGTTTATAAATAATTTATTTGTGAATAGACTTTTTATTCAGCTATTTAAATGCTTTCCTGATGATTCAGGAAGTGTGCAACCACTGTTGAATCCTAGCCAAATCTGCAACTATCGTGCCTCTCAATTTGTCGAGCCATCTTAAAGTAGGGCGAAACCTAGTGTAGCTGTGCCGCTGTTTTTTTCTGGGTAGTATACTGTGACAGGATCTTGGCTTTTCTGACATATTTTAAGTTTTTGGTATAAGGTTGAAGGAGTGAAAATTGAATATCGTTCGTATAACGAGACATTAATTCCATGGTTTATTATTGGAAGCTTGGTCTCTCATGTATACGAAATGTTTAATTTTAAAGTCTTTCAGCTTAGTGCCAAAAACGTTCGAAATACACCAGAAAAGCCATTATTCAATAAAAACGATAGGACGAACAAGATAGCAAGTAAGTTCTTACTCGGAGTAAGCGCATTATCCCCTTGTTTCCTATCGTCTATGGGGGACTATTTAAGCAGGTACGGTTGCATCGTATTTGAACACCTATATTGCTGCATTGGATGCTGCATCTCTCAACAAGGGTACGTTCCAGGCAGCAACGAAATCTGTCGCTATCTATAGGCAGTTATATGTCCAAAAAATAAAATGTTTTGAGATATCTACCGCACAGTGGCTTTCAATTCCACCGGATAGCTCAGTAAAAATCAGTGATGCGCCCTTGCATCAGGTGCAGCACTGCAAGTACTCAAATACCATGACGCCATGGCGTGTTTAAATGATCCCCGTTGGCGACCGGAAGCAAATTTGTGGTATACGTACGCGGACTAAATCCGGTGCCATAAATTGAAATGTATTATTACAGTCATTGTTGTGTTTGAGATCGAGAGAAGAAACACTACTCTCTGGACCACAGTAATAATGCCTAGCGACCATGACGTTGAAACTAATTTTTAGTGACGATAAGGCATTAGCAACATTCCAGAATCGCAGCCAAATAAATGACGACATCTCATGTAGGCGAAAAACTTTTATCATATTATTGCTGCCCAAGTACATCCGTTGAACATTAAAACAAATTTTGTGTTAATTGTGGGACTTCTTTTATTTCGATATATGGGTTGCTTACTACAAGTCATCACCTAGAACATCTCAGAAAGTATGTTTGCATAAAGCCCATTGATTTGTTTTGTAGGGTATTGAAATTGGTGTATCACGTCGCATTTTCTACTGGCGTGTCATCCGGCATCACATGTGTTGCATTGTTCAAAAACTAAGCTTCATTGCACTGTTTTGCTAAATTGACTACCGACGTACGAAAAGTTTTCCAGCATTTATTAATGAATAATGAAATGCTAGTTAATTTTGATCTTTCACCTACACAAGAATAGAAGCAGATTCATTTGGTGCTCAAACGTGCCTTTATTCAGCCGGCCCACTCAGAGATGCGGCCCTTTATCCAGTGCACTGCTTGTGCTCAAATGTCATTGAGCGATGGCTCATGGTCCCTTAAGGCGCCTAGAAGCTGGGATGGACGGTATTTACGCCGAGTCAATCTGGTATCAGAAGCTAAAATGCCATAATTACTGGTGAAATTTGAAAGCTGCAGTGTGATAGCTAGCCAAGAACATCAGGGTTATTTTTTATTTTTGGTTTTTTATTCGAAATGTTACGTGTTTTCCTTTCTTCTAGGTTCATTTCTAATTTGTTTCTTATTATAAAGAAGCATAAAAAAGCAACGGTTAAGCAGGAAAACGTTTCAAACGTCCGCGTTCTTTGTTTAACATTAAATCATAAAGTGCATTGTAAAATTAACCTTAGCCGTTCTCTAACTAAGGACAGACATGTTGTCAGGCTTGACAGAGAAAGTTTACCATAGTGATCTCATTTGAATGACGGAGCCACAGGAATAATCAGGCAAAGTATTTATTCGTTTCGTTTCTAGCCTTTTTGTCCTCTGAAAAACATGTGTTGTTACAAGCCGTCTGAAGTCTGCCTCCACAACAGCTGTTTCGTTCCATTGCCGAATGGCTCTTGCGTACCCATCTGGTGTCCATCTGCGGAAGGTAAGATCTGATCGTTGATTATCAAAATTTGCTATTGTCGTTCTCGGAGTTTTCAGTACAGATCATTTTCGAGCAGAGCGGAAAATGGCCGGATGATCTGAAGGCGGTTCGTAAATTGAAGTCGGCGTTTTACATGCAAATCAGTGACCTTCTCAAGAAGCAGCTTGACATAAATTCGTTTGTGAAAGAGCAATGCCTAATGGTTTTCGAGGTAATCGCTTCTAATTAGTTCTTAATCTGTTGAATGGCCCTCAAACTACCCTGAGATTTGCATTTTCAGGATGGCTATGTTTTTAAGATCACAGTTTCGTATATTCGTGAAATTACCCTAATGAAAATGAATACAGCCCCTGACGGATCTGTGGTGTACAGTGATTCGCCGGAATCACTAGAGATGGAAATGCGCTACTTGCATTTACCCAGACTGTCAGCTCAGTTAACCAGGTAACAAAATGTTTATTACATTCCTTAATGAAGTGTCTTAAATTATTAACGTTACATTACCACATTCTTCCGTTCCATGTACACCGACGATTCAGTGGTGGTTGCATTCTGATACCGGTCTGTGAAGTGCATTAGATTCTCGACTGTTTGTGATAATCGAGGAGAAACAGTTTGAACATCGAATTATCCGATTACTGTTTTTGATTTGCTTAACGTTGAAAACAGGAATGGTTCATTCATGCCCCCTTCTGACTCGAACCCTGTTCCTGTAGTTAAGAAGCATGAATATTTTTTTATAAATTACAGGCTGTTCGTAGCAGCTTTACCTTCTACATTTCGTCGATCCTGATCGTTTAACATTTGCCTTTCATAGTTAATAGAGTCTAATGGTCGTGTGTCGTCCCTCGAAATTTTGAGACCGCAGGCCACCACAAGAAACACTTCTGGCGTTACTCTTCTAATCTCTTCAGGTGCCATCGTCACATATCGTACTTATTCTATTCAATCCATATTTCAAAACCTTTTCTCTACCTTTTATAGCAGTGACACCCTCCGTAATGCATGCTGCATCGGTGATTTTATGGTCCCCTTACACTTTGATGACTGTAACAGTGTATCTGATAGATGAGCAGATGTTATTTTCTTTTCGCATTGAAAAGTCTCAGGCTATCTTCAGTTTTGTGTTATCAACTTTCCATTGATTGATTGATTGATTGATTGTTTCTCTACCGTCATCCCACTGCTAAAGTTGTGCATTTGCGCAAATTACTGTTGATTATGTTTGCAACATTGCTGTCTTTTACATGAGTTATTCCCCATTGGCTAGCGGACGGAAACTACACGATTCATTGTTTCTTTTGTTGAGCCCTTTTTTTGTTTTGCTTCCTGTCGGGTTTGCAGGTTATTTGTTCTGGATGAATTCACTGTGCTTAGCCTTGAGTGACTATTGCAAAGGCTTCAGTTTGCTACGGCGTTCGCTTCTAGATAGCCAGTTAAATCTCTCTTGCTTAGCTTTATCTTCAGAAAATGCGAAAAAAATTTTTTAGACCTCTTATGGAACGATCTTTACATTCTTCTGGGGCCTTCTTCAATTCCAGATGTTATCGGCTTCTGTTCTCATACGCAGTTCATCTTTTCAGCCAGCTGCATAATTTGTTTGACTCTGTCGTACATTTTTCGAACGCTTCTTTCCACAATTCAGTCATATCACTGATTCTGTGGCTCTTGCTCCTTTCTGGTGTCTCGGAAATTGTTTTTTTGCGCCTTGGAGCATCGGTTAAAGCGGAAGTCTTAGCACTGGAACGGAAAAACGTTGGAACTAATTTTCGGGGAGCTTCATTAGCTTGGATGGTATAGACGGGTTCGAAAATGCTGCATGGTTTGTTATTGAAGTTGTCGTTTCTAAACTCTGATCTCTCCAAATATATCCGCATGGTAACGGTTATTTTGTGATGGTGCTATCGGCGAGTCATCCTCTCTCGTCATGGGATCATCGTAGGGTTATTTAGGGCGATTTTTTGAATGACGGGTTTACCGGACCCGTTCCTAGCCATGCCTCGATAATACGGACTGCTGACCGTCTACGACTGCTCGATTATCACAACTTACATTTTATGTGGGCTTCGTTCTTCTATTCGCAACCTGAGGACGCGCCGGGCAAACTACAGTTGAACTCAGTGGGTATTTAAGTGGTGGACTTCGCACACGTGTGCAGCGGCTAGCGTATTGGTTAATAGCCTCAGTTGTATTTTTTGAACAAATTATTTGCATGGTTACTGCTGTTGGTATTATTGTGTTGAATGTTACGTATTTCACACAGATTGTAGTGTTTTACGTAGAAAGGAAGACCAGTGAAAGGCACGATATAATATGAAAGCTTGGACTATTCTGCCTGCTTCATTTCCCATATTTTCATCATTAAAGTAGTTCGAGGGATGCTGTCTTCTTTCATTTTTGTACAGTGTCCAGCGAGCATCGCTTGGACCATTCTTTTCAGTCAAGTCCTTCAATCTTTATCCGCTATTCGGTAGTTAGACTTATTGACAAAAATTTGCTATTTATTTTTTGGGGAATTTTAGATACCGGGTGGCTGTTCTTGCCGTCAGGAGTTGTCTGTGATTATTATGAAATAATTACCCTTAAAATATTCTACGTCCGTTACGAAGTAGGCTGTCAGAAACAGTTATTGCTTATTTATTCTTAATCTTGCTTTCCTTCTTTCACTGAGATCGTTGTAGTATGTCTCAGCAGTACCCGTCGTTTGCACTGACGTGTCGATTGGCAAAACGGTGGATATCGAGTCACATGATGAGCGGATTTCTGTCTGACGAAGCGATTGAATTGATGGTGGCTTATTTGTATTTAAATCCATGGCCTTACGTTGATCCAAAGTAAGTAGTAAATGTTGCCTTCCGGTTTGATTCGTAAAATTAAACGTTCAATAGAAACTGCCAGACCGGCTTCTTCCGGTTCTTGGATCTTTTGGCGACTTTTGATTGGCTGCTGGCACCTTTGATCGTTAACTTCAACGACGATTTGTCGAGTGAGTTCGTATCTCTTTTGCTTTTTGTCCTATGGTTATTGTATTGATGGCATTCAGAGAGCGACATCAGCGAGATACAGGCGCAGTTCATAACCATACGGCCGACTTTACCTCCTTTGTGCATCGTGACTCCAGAAGATAGACAGGGTGTTCGTTGGACCAGACCTCGTCCCTCATCGATGATCGTCGATCGGCTGACGAAACTGGCAAATATTTCGCTGGATTACATATCGAAGAATTTGCTGCAACCCAGCTTCAATCCGAAGGTAAAGAATGTTGTGTGTCTTGTGCTTTGGTGATGCTGCCAGCGTTACAGTGAACGTTTTACCATCACATTTGTTTGATGCCTTCACCAAGGTTGAAAAAATTTGTACATTTGCGGCTAAGATTCTGATAAAGGTTCTGTTAGATGACATG